GTAATTTGGTGGGGGTGGGGGGCGGGGATCCCCGCAGCGGGGGTCCGGGGTTGAAACCCCTACCCTGGCTTGGGCCCCGGGACTACCCACGCGACAACCTTGAGAGTGACGCCCAAACTTGCACGCAAGAAATGAGGCAGAGAAACTTGCTCTGCCTGGAGGTATAGTGGGCAACCAGCCTCACGGGCGGTTGCTGAAGCGTGCCTCACGGCCTCCAAGCAGCATGCTCGGCCTCCAAGCCTCCGGTACCTCCTCCCTTTTGGAGGAAAGCATCATTGCAGACCTGATATCTACTCTACAGGCCCTAGACCTACGTTACCGTACTTCTACCCCTACAGGTATAAACTTTTTGTCTTGTTCTGCTCAGCCTACCATTACTCAAGTGATTCCGGTACCGACACTAAGTTACCCCTTCCGCCACTCGAGTGGTTTTCCCTGCTGCAACCCTCAAAGTCATGGCCACAGGTAAGTACCAGCCCTCTGGGCCTCCCAGACAAACATGTGCCCTGGCGGGCCACACACACACTCAAGCCAACAAGCACTCAGACAGGCACGCAGACCAGCAAACACACACACATAGAAAACTCAGCACAAAGCGGCAATCCCAGCAAGGCGTATATTCCAGCGGCAAAACTCAGAAATCAGCTCTGTTCTCAGTCCGTGTTTTGGCAGTCCTTACAAGAACAAAAAACAGTGGAGAAAGCATGACGACAGAGCTGAACTCACTTGGTTCTCTACAGTCCTTGAGGCTTCCAGTACTGCTTTCTGTCTATCACGCAGCATTGCATGCATTTTCACAATTGCGGCGCGGACACTGTCTTGGTTTTCTATAGAAGCTCCAACCAGGTTAAGCGGATGATTCACCATATTTACAAGCAAGCAACACTCCTGCTCCTTCACCTGCAAAAAGTCACAAATTTATGGTGAATAACCTGAATTCAATTCCTCAGCTGAAACTGCTCATAATAACCACTATGATCAGTGCCATTACATTATGTTTGACATATGACGACACAACAGGCTCAATGTAGATGTTTGAACAAGAACGTAGCAGGACGTCTCACTTCAATACGGACCGAAGGCAGGAAAGAAAAAACGAGGGAGGGAGGCAGGAAGAACTCTGAAGAAGG